TTGGCTCTATAAGTGTGAGCAGTTCTTTGATGTGGATGGGACACCTGAAGATTCAAAGGTGAAATTGGCTTCCTGTAAACTTGAAGGTCAAGCTTTGCCATGGCATCAAGGGTTCATGAAGTCGAGGGTTACAAGGGAGTGGCCTCGATGGGGGAGTATGTAGGATGTCTCTATTCGAGATTTGAGGCAGAATTGTTTGACGATCCAATGGGGGATTTCAAAGACCTAAGACAGGTAACAACTGTTCAAGAATACATTGATCTATTTGATGAATTGCTTAATAGAGTAGAATTGCAAGATGAATATGTCGCTAGTTGTTTCATAAGGGGGTTGAAACCTGAAATTGGACTGCCTGTTAAAATGTTGAATCCTAGATCCTAAGCCAAAGCCATAAGCCTAGCCAGAATACAAGAACAAACCTTAGAAGTCCAAAAACAAATTTTTCTTTCAACACCTATTCTGCCAAATCCCAGAAATAATCCTAGAAACTTCCCTATGAAATCACCTTCTTCTCACTTTGGACCAAGCCAGTCATTCACACAAACCACTGCCCAGAATTTCCCAAAAACCCAACACCCTTACCCTGTTAATCCTAAACCACCCTACAAAAATGCCAAGCTTTTGAGTCATGCTGAAATGGAGGAGAGGAGAAGTAAAGGATTATGTTTTAACTGTGATGAGAAGTACACTCAAGGCCACATCTACAAGAAGAGGAGGCAATTCTTTTCCATGGAAGTGGATGAGGATATTGAACCAGTAGAGATAGAGCAAGGAGAGATGTTGGATCCTGCAGAATTATTAACCATGATAGCACAGGGTTTAGAAACTGATCAGGAAGGGTCCATTCTACCTCATGTATCTGTTCATGCTATGAATGGTATTCATGACTTTAGAACCATGAGAGTGACAGTCTCTATTAAAGGAAAGGCAGTACATGTGCTTATTGATACTGGTAGCACCAACAACTTCTTGGATCTCAACACTGCCAAGAGATTGGGATGTGCTCTGACTGCCATTTCACCCTTTGCAGTCTCAGTAGCTGATGGTAATAGGGTACACAGTCATTGTGTGCAAGAAATTGATATGGAAAATGCAGGGAGTTTCCTTTGATTCAGATATGCTAGTATTGCCCATTGGAGGGTGTAACATGGTGCTAGGAATTCAGTGGTTGATCACTCTTGGAGACATCACGTGGAACTTCAGGAAGCTCCAGATGGAGTTCACTATCATGGGCCAAAAGATATCCTTGAGAGGTATCCAGCCTCCTGCTGCTAAGCTAATCCAATCTGGCAAGATGGATAAGTTGCTAGCTAAACCTGAGCTATGCATGATATCGTTGGGCAAACTAACAGAAGAAACAGTAGAAGGAGATATCAGTCTGTTCTCTTTGGAATCTCAAATGAAAACTCAGAGTGAACCTGTAGAATTGCAACTCATATTGCAGAAATATGGGGATCTATTTGAAGAGCCCAGCACACTTCCTCCTTCTAGGATGCATGATCATAGAATTACTCTGAAGGAAGGTACCTCTCCAGTCAACAAGAGGCCTTATAATCCAACTATTCAGAAGAATGAAATAAAGAAGATGGTGGATGAGATGTTAGCTTCTGGTGTAATCAGACATAGCACCAGTCCTTATTCTTCACCAATTGTAATGGTAAAAAAGAAAAATGGCACTTGGAGGATGTGTGTGGATTACAGGGAATTGAATGATTGTACAGTGAAGGACAAGTTCCCTATTCCTATAGTTGAAGAACTATTAGATGAACTACATGGAGCTAAGTATTTCTCTAAGTTAGAACTCAGATCTGGATACCACCAGAACAGGATGTATGAGCCTGACATTCCAAAAACTGCCTTTAGAACTCACTATGGCCATTCCAAAAACTGCCTTTAGAACTCACTATGGCCATTATGAGTTCATGGTCATACCCTTTGGCCTTTGGCCTAACCAATGCTCCATCAACATTTCAAAGTCTAATGAATCAGATATTTCATGACTTCCTTAGAAAATCAATTTTGGTCTTCTTTGATGATATCCTTATATACAGTGCTAGCTAGGCAGATCATCTGATCCATCTTGAGGAAGCTTTCCAAGTTTGAGATCCCATGTGCTCTATGTCAAAAAGAGCAAGTGTGCCTTTGGAGTAAAACAAATAGACTACTTAGGTCATGTAATCTCTGAAGAAGAAGTTGCTATGGACTGTCAGAAGGTAGAATCAGTGGTGAACTGGCCTCAACCAACTACTCTAAAGAGCTTAAGAGGTTTCCTAGGCCTCACTGGATATTACAGAAGGTTTATAAGGGGGTATGGTACTATTGCAAGGCCCTTACATGACCTGTTGAAGCAAGGGAACTTTATCTGGAACTCTGCTGCCACTAAAGCAGTGGAAAATTTGAAAAGGGCACTCACTACAGCACCTGTTCTGGCATTACCTGATTTCAACAAGGAATTTGTAGTGGAAACTGATGCTTCTGGTTCTGGCATTGGAGCAGTGTTAGCTAACCACACCAGGCCTATAGCCTTTTTCAGCAAGGGTTTATCAGAGAAAAACAAGGCACTATCAGCCTATGAAAGGGAGTTGCTAGCATTGGTCACTGCAGTCCAAAAATGGAGACCTTATCTACTGGGAAGACACTTTGTAATCAAGACTGACCATCACAGCCTCAAGTATCTACTTGAACAGAAGATCACTACTCCTGGCCAACAAAAATGGTTGGTCAAACTGTTGGGTTATGATTAAACCATATCCTACAAAAAGGGTAAGGACAACATTGCAGCTGATGCCCTTTCCAGGAAGGAGGATTCAATTGAACTATTCAGCATTTCTGGGGTCTCTTTTGAACTTTTGGAAGCAGTTAAACACAGCTGGACCCAAGATCCAGCACTCCAAAAGTTGACTCAAGGCCTGCAATCTGGTACTTGCTCTAAACCTCACTACTTGTTTCAAGGTGGAATACTTAGCAGGAAAGGAAGAATGCTGGTAGGTGCTGATCAGGACTGCAGGTAAAGAGGTCATTTTTGTAGTAGTCGACAGGCTCAGTAAGGCTGCTCATTTTATGGCCCTCAAACATCCTTACACAGCTTTAGAGGTGGCTCAGACTTTCATGGAGGGAGTGTTCAAACATCATGGAATGCCAAGAACTATTGTGTCGGATAGGGACAAGGTATTTACAAGCAGATTTTGGCAAGAATTATTCAAGTTACAAAAAGTCTCACTCCTGACTTCTTCTGCCTACCATCCTCAAACAGATGGTCAAACTGAAGTTGTTAATCGATGCTCGGAATGCTACTTGAGGTGCATGACAATTGATAAACCAAAGGAATGGCCCCATTGGTTACCTCTTGCAGAATGGTGGTACAACACAACCTTTCACTCAGCCACCCATATGACCCCATATGAAGCTGTTTATGGTCAGAAACCACCTCCTCTACTTCCCTAACAACCCTTTGATTCCCAGTTGGATGTGATAGATAGGAGCTTACAGGCAAGAGAGGCAACACTAAGGGCCTTGAAAGCTCACTTGGAGAAAGCTCAACACAGAATGAAAATGCAAGCAGACAAAGGCAGAACTGATAGGAGCTATGCAGTAGGTAATTGGGTCTTCATCAAGTTACAACCCTACAGACAACTCTCTCTAAAGAGCCATTCCTACCAGAAATTAGCTGCCAAGTTCTTTGGACCTTTCCAAATCATTGCCAGGGTAGGCCAGGTGGTCTATACTCTAGCTCTACCTCCACACTCCAAGATCCACCCTACATTCCATGTTTCTCTGCTCAAGAAGAAATAAGGAGCTCACACTGCTTCTGTGACACTACCTGTGGTACATTCTGACTCAGGCCATGTACTACTAGAACCTGAGGCAATATTAGATAGGACGCTGGCCAAGAAGCATNAACCTGAGGCAATATTGGATAGGAGGCTGGCCAAGAAGCACGGCAAGGCAATAGCACAAGTCCTTATCAAATGGCTGAATGCTGCTCCAGAGGACAGTACTTGGGAGGATCTGCAGGATTTCAAGCTCAAGTTTCCACCTTTTAATCCTTGAGGACAAGGATCATCTGAAGGGAGGGGTATTGATACGTATGTGAATGTAACAACCATAGTTAGTGGATAATCATAGTTAGTAATCAAGTTAGTAGTTGAGTTAGTAGCTGTTAGCAGTTAAAAATCGTTAGTGAAGGTTGTTAGAGAACACGTGCAAGTCATGTGATTTCCAGAAGTTAGTTGTAACTAACTCTGCTTCACGTGGGTTCCTATATAGCTCACAAATCCCTTCTCTGTATTTTCAACGATTGTTGTGAAGATCAATAACCTTTCCTTTTCTCTATTCTCTCAACTCTTTGGGCTTCATCTAGCTCATGGAATCACTGTTCAAGAGTAGTTCTTCTCGTTGCTCTTTAGGTGTTCCTTCTTTTTCGATTTTTATAAAATCTGTTGCGTATCAGTTCGTGGACTAGGCAATTGAAGAAGCAATTCCTCTAAATCTCCAAAGCCTAGATGTAGAAGAGGATCTAGAATTTGAGGCATCGATTTGGGTATATCAGAATATCCTCAGATTGAGCAAAGAGTTTGGGGTGGATTTTAATGGGTGTGAGAGAGAAGCATTGGAGCTTTCATGAAAATTGACAACAAAAGGCAAGTAAATAAAGGGAAAGAAGTTACACATGTGACATAGACTCCAAAAAAAGGGGTTTCAAAGAGCCGAAAGGTTTAGATATTGGGAGTAATTTCAAGAGTAATGGAACCAGAAGCAGGGGGGATGCATTATTAGTCATGACCAATGATAGCGAACACTGTATCATGGCATGTTAGGGGACTCAATAGAGTTAGAAAAAGGAGGCTGATTAAAAGTATGATATTCAGTTGGAATTTTTTGTTTCCAAGAATCTAAAATAGAAGGGGGATATCAGGGAGATACTAAAAGAATTATGGGATAATAGATGGGTGAAATTTGCACAACTAGAAGCTAGTGGGACTAGAGGGAGTATTATAGTTATGTGGGATGGTAGAATCTGGAAGGGGGAAGTTTGTTGCTTGGGAGCACATTCAATTACTTGTAAATTTCCTGGTAAGACACAGGAATACACATGGCATCTTTCAGTTGTGTATGCTCCTAATGACAGGAGAGAAAGGGAAGAAGTTTGGTGGGAGTTGGCAGGCGCTAAAGGTCTCTTTAGTGGGCCTTGGGTGGTATGTGGGGACCTCAATACTGTGAGGTTCCTATCAGAGAAGAAGAATTGCATCAGAATCACAAGAGCTATGAATGAGTTCTCTAAATTTATTGAAGACATGGAACGGGTAGACATCCAACTATCAGGAGGTGTACATGGAGAAAAGGTGACAGGCATGAAATAGCAACTAGATTGGATAGGTTCTTGATTTTTGCTTACTAGAATGAAGATTTTAGAAATATAAAACAATCAGTGCTTCATAGAGATACTTCTGATCATTCCCCACTGATGCTTCAATGTGGTAATTGGGATCCAGTCAAATCCTTCTTTAAGTTTGAAAATTGGTGGCTACAGACTGAAGGCTTCAAAGGTGGAATAAAAGAATGGTGGAACTCTTTTGCTTGTGAAGGAAGGCCTGATTTCATTCTAGCTTTTAAACTTAAAGCATTTAAGGTAAAGCTTAAAGAATGGAGCAAAACTCTCCAAGGTAATTTAGCATTGCAGAAAGCAAGTATTCTCATACTTGCAGAACTGGAAGAGATACATGATCAAAGGAGTCTGACTGAGAAGGAAATATATACAAAAACTGCCTTGTTTATGGAATTTAAGGAGATTGCAAAACAAGAAGAGGTGGCGTAGAGGCAGAGATCTAGGGCCCTTTGGTTGAAAGAGGGAGATAGGAACATTAAATTCTTCCACAGAAGAGCTAATGCTCACAGAGATACAACAATATTGATCAGTTGATAGTAGAAGGGTAATCTTCGCAGAATCTTGAAGATATCAAGAGAGAGGTTATCAAATATTACCAAAACCTCTGCACAGAAGAAGATGGGTGGAGGTCACTAGGTGCTATCAGAAACAGTCACATGATTACACCAGAAGACAACTTAATGCTTCAGAGTCCTTTTGGAGTACATGAGATATGGGATAGTGTAAAAGCATATGCTGAAGACAAAACACCTGACCCAGATGGATTTTCAATGGCCTTTTTCATTAATTACCGAGAAGTGGTAGCTGTTATCCAAAACTTTTATGACCAGGGAATATTTGAAAAGAGCTTTAATGCAACTTTTGTGGCATTGATTCCTAAGAAGGTGGGGCCCAAAGAATTGAGAAATTTCAGGCCTATCAGTTTGATAGGCAGCATATACAAAATTATATCCAAATTATTAACTGAGAGGCTCAAGAAGGTGGTGAACAAATTGGTGGATACTTAACAGATGGTATTCATAAGAGACAGGCAGATAATGGATGCCATCTTAATTGCCAATAAATGCAGTGATACAAGGAAAATAAGCAAGAAACCTGGGATACTATGTAAGCTGGACATAGAGAAAGCATATGACCATCTGAACTGAAATTTTCTATTAGAAACTCTTAGGAAAATGGGCTTTGGTGGAAGTTGGATTAACTGGATAAAATTCTGCATCACTACTGTGAGATTTTCAGTCCTCATAAATGGGCACCAACTATTGTTTTCCTTCTCGGGGGGTTTGAAATAGGGGGATCCCCTATCTTCTTTCCTATTTATTATTGCTATGGAGGGATTGAATGATATGTTGAAAAGAGCTCATACAAACAAGTGGATAAGGGGCTTCAAGGTGAATTGCAGGGCTAATAGCAATATGATGATTTCCCACCTTCAGGTTGCTGACACCCTTGTGTTTTGTGAAGCTGATAGAGAACAACTGAAAGTATTAAGGGTGATTTTCATTTTTTTTGAAGCCACATCTGGACTACACATAAACTGGCATAAAAGTTTCATCTATCCTGTCAATGAGGTAATGGAGATACAAAATCTTGTTGATATCCTTGATGGAAAAGTAGGTGAATTGTCTACTGTATATTTGGGGATGCCATTGGGAGCCAAGAGTAAGTCAAAAGGAATTTGGAATGGTGTACTGGAGAAATGTGAAAAGAAGTTAGCAAATTAGAAGAATCAATATCTATCTATGGGAGGTATACTAATTCTGATCAACTTTGTACTTGATGCCATGCCTACTTATATGATGTCTCTATTCCCGATTCCCGCAGATGTAGTGAAGAGAATTGATGCATTAAGAAGGAATTTCTTATGGGAAGGCAATAGTGAGAAGAAGAAAATCCATTTGGTTAAATGGACTTCTCTTACAACTAGCAAGAAAGCAGGGGGAATGGGAATAAAAAACCTGAGAGTTCAGAATCATAGTTTGATGATGAGGTGGTTATGAAAATTTGCTGCAGATGAACAATCACCGTGGAGAGAGGTAGTTAGGGAGAAGTATGGTATGGAAGGAAAATGGACAACCAAACTTGTGAGAAGTCCATATGGTGACAGTTTGTGGAAGTCAATAAGGAATTTGTGGCCAAAAATCGTTATAGAGTCAAAATTCAAAGTAGGAAATGGTATGAAGATTTCCTTCTGGGAAGAGAATTGGCTAGGCCAAGGACCCTTGAAGCTACTTTTTCTTGACATATATATTTTGAATCAACAACAACAAGCAACATTAGATGAGGCATGGACAAGTCAAGGTTGGAATCTAACCTTCAGAAGACTACTAAATGACTAGGAGATTGGCAGAGTAATAGATTTCTACAATACTTTGGAGATATTCAGTAGAATCAATATTACTCAAGATCACATGATATGGCAAGGGAATAGGCATGGGGAGTTTTCTATTAAGTGTGCTTATCAGGAATTCAACCTTTCTAATAATCAGGTTGGATGTTGGTCATGAAAGATGATATGGAAAGTAAAAATTCCCTACAAAGTTGCGTGCTTTACATGGTTATTAGCAAAAGACGCGGTTCTAACACAAGATAATTTAATCAAGAGAGGTTACCACTTGTGCTCTAGATGTTACTTATGTGGAGAGGAGGCAGAGACAATTAGTCATCTCTTTTTGCATTGCAAGTTGACTGTAGAATTATGGAGAATTTTCATCAACTTAAGGAGAATTGTATGGGCAATGCCCAGAAGAATACTTGAAGTTCTAGCTTTCTAGAATAAAGAGGGTAATCTTTCTAGGCATAAAGAGAGATGGAGAATTGTCCCAGCCTGCATATGGTGGACAATCGGGGAAGAGAGAAATTAGAGATGCTTTGAAGACAAGTTAAGAAATATCCAGAAGAGGAAGATGAAATGTCTGGCTCTTTTCTATTTTTGGTGTAAAGAAAAGTTTTTAGAGGATCATGAATCCATTTTTGATGTTCTAGAATCCTTGTGAGAAGACCAAGGATTATAAGTGTTTTCTTTTTATGCACTCCCTTTTGTAATTATAGGTGAATTCACAATTTTAGTTAAGTCTATCCTAATATACAAATATGTTACAAAAAAAAAGGTTTTCGTAATTTGTGATCTTAAACATGTCATGCGATTTCTATGGCCATAAAAGCATGTCACTGAAGGTAAAATAGGAAGTTTAAAGTTAAATTGTTTCCAAATATACAAAAATCTCATTCTTTTTTGAACGGACTAATAAGGAAATACTGTCAAATGAGATGGAAGAATATAACTGATTATTCAAGAACAAGCTTTTAAAAAGATATAATTGGACTATGGAGTCAGCGACAATAAAGTAGTTTCAGAGACCATACGTATTTTGCGAGATTGTTATATTCTAGATTACATCCAGGCTTCCCAATACATCAATCTCTAAACCGTATGATTCTCTTTTTGGGATTCCTCTGTTAAACCCCCTTCCCCTTCTATACCCGGGAGGAAGGAATTAGAGGTAGTTGAAGCCGCGTTGAATACAAGCATTAGAAGAGATATATAAAAGATATATAAATAGAAAGCAAATACTGCCGTCCAGTGTTTAAAGAAATGGACACTGTTGGTAATATTACATTGATCTTTTATTTGTCTGGGTTGAAGCTTCTAATGTTAAATGTTCAAAAGCAGTTCAAGGGTAAACGTGATACAATGAAGTTACAAACTACACACTAATTTTGGTGGATTACTAAGGGAAATTTATAAGCAGAAGTAACAAAACCATCAATATGGCCAGACAGAAGTATACCTTCATTGAAACGTACGAGACGACTAGGTTTCCCTAGATAGTTGGAGAACCATTTTGATGCTTCATCTCCTTCATCCAAAGCAGAGCCAGACCATTCCCACACTGAGACACCATTTGCTACTTCAGATGGCTCAACCAGTGGGACTTTAAGCACATCCATACCAGGGGCCTTTATCACTGTCAGGAAAAGGTGAACTACTGATACTAGTGAAGTTTCACATTTTTGCAGGTAAAATTGCCTCACTTTTGGAGTTTGGACAATGCCTCAAAAGAAATGATGAAGATTGAGAACTGCAAAGCTTCTTTCTATTATTGTTTTTATTTAAGTATCACCAAAAGCAAAGCAACTTGCATGGGATTGACGCATAGTAGTTGTTGTATCAGGAAATGAAAAGCGATTGAAATAACCAGTTAAAGGGTACAATGCAAAAGATGCAAACAAAATAAGAAACTTCACTTGTCTTCTCAGTTCTGCATTCAGAATATATTATTTTCATTAGAGGGGATATAACATGATAACTTTCCGTTGCCTGCGTCCACAACTTTTAGTACAAATAAATAACTTTTGGCCTCATTAAAGACCGAGTAAAGAAGTGGTCTTCCATGGCTGAATTTCCAAATTCAAAAGAAAAGAAGAAAATTATCAATTAGAACCGATTTCATCAACACTAGAGAAAGAACAAGAAAGTATGAACTAACTGTTATAGACTTAGAGTTGACAATGTGATGTATCTCATACTCAACTAATATTCTTCCCTGTTCAATGACCAGATCAAAAACGGTACTATATAATTGACTGAACACAACAAATTCAGGAGCTCCTCTGCTTCTGCTTCTGCATTCTTCTTTCATACTTTTTCGCTGCTCTCCCCATATTCACAACATTTTGGCTTGCTCCTTTTAACGGCATTGAGATTTGAAAGGAAGAAAGGATTTTTTCCTATTATCACGAACTACTGATAATTTTTCCAATTTGGGAGTAAATTTCCTCATAATCACACACAGAGATAATGGAGCAAAGGCAAGAGAAAACAAGGATCATAAAATTAATTCTCTCGCTAACCTAAAAATGAGCTTGGATTGGGTTCCCAGCCCTCTAATAATGCCTCCTTCGGAAGTTCAACCTCAACTAGAGCAAGCGATGGCTCTACTCTTTGAGTACATGCTCTGCCTTTGGAGTTTACAACTATCCACTGCCGATCCCATCGAAATCCTGAGTACAACAAAGCACAAGAAGTGATTGTTGAGTTCAAGCGCCATTGAATTTGAAAGTGATCAAATTAACTAAGAAATTAATAAGAATTATTTGCGTACTATATATTTAAAGCTGAAAATGTTGGTTTATGTTTAGTTAACAATGGCATGCTGAAAATGTTGGTTTATGTTTAGTCAACAATGGCATGCCAATTGGAAGAGTTGGTGGAAAGAGTTGGTGGAAAGAGTTGGTGTGGATGCTAGGAGGAAACTTCCTCTTTTGATGTCACCCATGACATCAAGAGGAGGTCTTTACCTCTATAAATAGATGCACTCCTTCAC